TACGTGTCTCACCCTCTGCCTCATCCCAGGCTTGCACCTTGTCCATGGTTGGACCAATCTGCCTTGGCTTCTAATGGTTACAGAAACATCCCTTTACTGCTCCCTGAGACTGCTGGTGGTCTGTCACCCAGAGTCAACCTCTGAGCTGACCTGCTCGTAACTCTGCTTCACCGAGGATGCTCCCTGGCCTCAGTGGTGGTGTCGATGGAGCAGAAGGAAGAGCCACGGTGGGCCTGGCTTTTCACACTGCCTGACTATGGGAAAGGATGCCAGGGTCCATTTTGCTTGGTTAAAACTGCACAGGTTGACATTATAACTGAAAGTCAAAGTCAGTGGAGAAAATTTAAGTGATTTTTCAGAAGAGTCTCTGTTACAGATCCATTTGATGTCCAAAGCATTTCACTGTGCTCCTTTAGCTTTTATCAACAATGCAAGAAGGCAACTAATTATTCTTTTGTAAACAGTGTAAACCTTAGAGGTAAGGTGGAGCTTTTACTGGGGCTGGGTGAGAAAGTTTGCTCCCTCTAGCTCTGTTTGTGTGCAGTACTGCTGCTATGCTTTAAGGCTGAGTGCTTCTAAAGAGTGAAGGCAAGTTATGTTTGAAGCATTTACTTACTTCTTTGTCGTTGTTCAAGCCTAGATTCTTCATGTCTAGGACATTATAAAAAGTGTTGTTCAAGACCACTTCTATGACCTGTACCTGAAACCATAAAACAGATGAGACAGTTAATTAGGGCAGCTCTTCAGCAACAGCCTGGCAGGCTTTTCACTTGCTGTAGAAAAAGAACAATGCAGCCCTCCCAGTACAGTTGACTAAATGCAATCTGGTAAACATGTGTCGTGTAGTACATCTCTCATTTTTACTCAAGTGCTGCCAAGCACTGGGTGATATTCTCCCCTGTTGTGTTCACACCTGGAGAGCATCATAGGAACTTCTCAGGGGGTTCATATTTTTTCTGACCATCTGGCTGTACCACCAGTTTTCAGTCTGACAGAGGAAATAATAGTCTCATGTTTGTTTCTCGCTCATCCAATTAATATTCACTATTGTTTAAGTAAAACATCATAAGGAGGAAAGAAGATACCTGTGACACTTTGGAAAGGACAAGCATCTGGATAGAGTTGACAGTTTTCTGGTACGAGGGTGAATATTCCCCACAGTCGGGTGGTCCGGAAAAGGCTTCGAGGATACATTCACGGATTTTGTTCCTAGAGGTAACACAGGTTTTTACAAAACCTTGTATCAGCTGTCTCTGTTTAGATCCAAAATGTTTTACTGTGAGGTGGGGTTTTTTATATTTTTTATGTATCTTCTGGCTAATATGTAGCACATGGGATTTTGTGGAGGAATGATTTATTTGTTGTGTAAGCTCCAAATTCTTCCTGGGTCTCCCCCGCCAGCTCTAGAATTCACAAGCAGGTTTCGCTAAAAATATTTTAAAAAATCATTATTTTATTCTCCAGTTGTGTTCTGCACTGAAACGGAACTGTTCATTTAAACCCTGTCCACTGAGGCAGCATCAGAGAGACCCCAAGACCTGCCTCTCACTCCTTGTAACAAGGTGAGTGCCGCCGCTGAGACCTGCGAGTGGCTGGTGCACAGCAGATGCAGATGTGGCCCTTACACCTGCTGTGTGGTAGGGGGGCACTTTGTGGCCATAGATTAGCTAATGGGCATTACTTGGTACGACATATACCATATGCAGTCAAAGTCAAAATCCTTGCATTCGCCGTATGACCACTTGCAGAAGAGCTCTCCACATAGAATCCTGTCATGTCTTTCAGGAAGTGTGGTGTGTTCATTTTTATAGAAGCCTTCAAATCCAGACTGTGTTGTCTTCATAAGTTTCAGGTCTTTAATTCCAGCAAAGACGACCAGAGGACCTGTGATCCAAAATTACAAGACAATACAAGCTCATTTTCAGGCAGAGGGGAAAAAACCTCTGGGTGATACTTGTAATGACAGCTCCAAAGCCAGAAAGCTGATAGTAATTTTCTGCACACGGATGTTAGCAGAACGGTAAGAAGCAAGACAGAAACTACTGAAGTCAGAGCTCAGTCCAGAAAATGGAGAATCCCACCAACTGACCTGCAGTTAAGGAGAACTTTTTAATCTCACCTGCTTGGAACTGGGACATACTTTGGGTTGGCTCCCACTGATGTCAACTTAGGAATGACTGATTTCTCTAAAGGGAAATGAAATAGGCTACTAGTGCTGTGGTGTACAGGAGAGGTATGGTGCACCTTTTCTAACAACACAGACGAGTGCAAAAACAATCTGTATAAAGGCAGAGCTTCAGTCAGAAATTTGCTTTACATACCCATCCGGTTGGGAGTTTTGCATCCCTGGAATGAGAGGGCGAGGAGTCAATGCAAATCCTTGCAGCTCAGCTAATAAGCAGGAACTGGCATCGGTACAGATGCCGCCCACAGATTCAAATTGTCAGTGACTTTGCTCTTAGCCACTATTTATAAAATGTGCTGTTGTGGATCACTGCTGCACAAGTGGATTATCATCCCCTAAAGATCAAACAATTATGTCCTGAATGTTTTCTCCTGACACACCTTCTGAATAGTGGCTAAAATTTACATGCAGTCAGTCATTTAAGAGCACACCAAACTGATAACTGAAAATTTCACTGACCAGAGCTGCCAAAAAGCAGATTCAGAAAGTAGAAACTTCATGGCATGCAGGCTCATTCAGGGCCTGTACAGATAGTCAGTGGCTGAAGCCCAAGCTGCTGTTTCAGTGCTTCTCTTGGTGCTCACGCTAGCTAGTAATCCTGGAATACATCTGGTGCACAGTAATCCTGCCTTGGTCTGGCAAGACTGACAGATTTTGTCTTTAAACTATGTCTTTGCAGGAATTTATACTGGAAACAATTCCACTGTGGTAGACATTTTTAAACTGCATGATTGTTTAGAGATTTGGTGTTTTTTTTTAAACTGCTCTGTGACTGGATATTATTGAAACTGCGTCTTATGTTTCTTTTATCTATCTTTTCTTGTTTACATTCATTAATGCTTTTGAATGAGTCTATGGAGGTGTATTTGTAATTTTGCCTATATTCCTTATTTATTTATCTGGACCTTAAAAAAATGTAAAGAAGAGATTGTCCTTGGTCAGGATATGGACCTTTGGACAAACCCTTGGACAGGGTTTGTTCAGATCTTGATTAACTTATTGCTTGGGTATAAGATTGTAATACACAGATATTAATGTAGTGCAGATTCTATCAGTGAAACTGAAGATACATTTATCCTATAGTAAAATACATAGCCTTGTTTGAAAGAGCTCCTTGCAACAAAAGACTGAAAGGCTGTGCAGCAATCAGCCTGAAACTCACTCTGAAGGAGGTAACACCTGGCAGAGTTTCCAAGGTGAACAGCCCACGTTGTACTTTCAGTATGTTTTGTGCTTCAATTGTCAAATGTTGACTCTGTTACTTATGATGTTTTCAGTTTCCAAAACACTCTGAGCCTTTTATCAGCTGATATAATTCCAAAAAATAAGTCTATTAAGTCTCAGTAGGTTTTTTTTTTTCTTGATGAGAAAAGTGTTAAAAGTAGGATTAACTGAGAATTGAACTCTTGTGTCTGGCTGAGAGGTGCATAGGAGGATGCTAAATGTAGAGAACATTCTCTTTTAGAAAAAAAATAAAAGTGATTCAAAAATCTTCTCTGGTTATTGTTCACCTAGGCAGGGAATCCTAAAGAAACAGCTAAAGGGCTGCATGAAGGGAAGTCTAAGAAGGAAAAGTGATTTCTTCAGTAAGCCTTAAAGGCTTTTTGTTTGCATAGAATCTGAAATTGCAGAATGTCATGCTGAATTTTCAAGATGATGAAAAATGTAATGGAATCTACATTAAGAGCAGCGGCTTTTAAGAGCAGCAGCTTTTGAAGAAAGCATAAACTCTTTGTCTTTCCTTTTTTTTTCTTTTTTTTTTTCAGTTCAGGTTTCTTTCTTAAGATTTTCCAGACACCAAAGTTAATGCTATTGAGGGTGCCAGAAGTACAGCAGTAGTTAATGTTAATAGTAGCATTAAAAGAGATGAGGCCGAGAGATGCTGGAGACTTGTGTTTTTCCTCCCTCCCTCCTTCATTTTGGAACACAGGGACAGTGCTCAAATGCGCCTTTCAAAACTTGTGCCCCGTCGGCAACTGCAAGTGGTCCTGCCACTGGTCGTAGGATGGGAGATAGTTGCGTTAGTGCAGCTGAGATAGGTACCAAACTAGTGCCTAAAACCTCTAAACCCATTGTGAGAAATGATGTAGTGGTCTCAGCTCAGTTCCCAGGAGTCTGAGAGATGGGTTAAATGAAACACCATCACAGTGAGACTGAGCTTACATTCTTGTTGTGAGCCATAGCAAGTAAGGGTAATTTCTACACTTCCTTTGGAATGCAAATTTATGGACAAGACAGTTGAGTTTGAAAGCTTATGTCTTTTAAGCATCGCAAAACTCTTGTTTAAGCCAAATAGTGCTTTGGTGTGCAAAAATAGTAAGCACACTCTAGTATTTTAATGTGAAAAATTGTTTGCATGTAGACCTGAGTGCTCACAATGTTCAAGCTAGCCTGGCTTGCAGCAATGGAACTGCAGCCATCTTGGCAATAAAATTAGAGCATGTTGACTGGGATTTGAAAATAACTGCAAACTGGGCAGTTGGCCTGTAGCAGTGTGGCATGGAGAAATGATAACAGGGGGGCTGCAGAATATACTATAGGGTAAAAAGGTAAGCGGCCTGTTCTTGGGAGGCTACTGCCTCCTATCTCACTATGAAGCAGTTCTGCTGGATGTGCTGTTGTAAGCATTCTGTGTTTGGAATGTACTTACAAATGTGAGCTATGTTAGTTCTTCAGCCGTGTCTCAGAAATCAAGAACTGCAAAATAGACTCTAGAAGTATCCTTTGTTTTAGACCTCTGGAGCGTTTTGGCTGTGCTGTAAAACCTGTAATGCCTGTAGGTATCTCTAAAGCCATCTTTGTTTCTCATTGGCAGAAATATTTACCAAGAAGTAGGGGAAATTGCCAGTTTTTTTTCCTCACCGTTTCGGCACTGCTCAGCTTCGCAAAAGCGGATCCCATCAGGAACGCATATGAATGAGTGGATGTGAGGAACACCATTCTGCAATTTAGAGTAGACATGTAAGTAAAAGTGCCATAAATACTATGCTAACTGGAAAACAGGAGATAAGAGAGTGAGGAATGGCTACAGCATAAACAGAATATATTTGTTTTTTAGATACCTTATGCAGACGTTGCCATGGTACTTCTTGAACGTAGGTTTTGACATACACCACTTGGCAAAATGTTGTCATGAAGTGATTGCAGATATCTATAGCAAATTGTTCTAAACTTGGGATCTAAGAGAGCAAACAGCATTATTAGAAAGAAGGAATTACCTCATGTACAAAACTAGATTTTTCTGGTTGCTGTAAATATTTGAGAGGAATCAGTGTAGTTAAAAACACTGATTTCTCTTATTTCTGTCTTGGTGCACTGTGCCCAGTCATTTGACCCGCTTGCAGCATACACTGCAAATAGCAGCTGCAGTTGTGTCAAAAACCTCCCGTTCTGTGGTACAGTGAGCTGCAGTCCTTGGACTGACATTAACTGCTAGCCTTATGCTTTGAGGATATAGTGCTGAAATAATCACTTCAGCATAGTGAACAGTGATTATTCTGATTAAATTTTACATGGTAGAGATGGAGTTTCATTACAGAGACAGACAATTAGCACTACAGATTATCATAATGATAGATGCAATTGGTGAAGGTAAGAGCACAGTTAGAAGAATTAAGAGGAGTCTCACATGCTTTGAAACCTGTTTAAAAATGCTATATAGGAATAATGTGCTAAAAAATTTTTAAAAATATGGATCTTATATGAAAAAATTACGAAAATAGTGTCAACTGTGAGAAAAAAAGGAGTCTGCAGTGGAGGAGGAGAACTTGTCTCTCATATCACTGAAGATGACTTTGGTGCTGATCTGATATGCCAAATAAAAATAAAAAGTATAACAAACATTTCCAAAAGAAGTCATAAGAAACAGCAAGTCTAGTTAAAAAATAAAAAAATACCCCATTTTTTTTGGCCAATACGAGGACAATATTCTTTATAGTGTCTGTAGGTATCACAAGAGAGTTGTTTCCCTCCAGGTACTCCTGAGGAGAAGTCAGACGCAGATGTGTGCACACTTCCACTTCTTTAACGAAATGCTTCTTCCCCTCTCTATGAAGGCGAAGGAACTTAATTGTGTTTTTGCCATATTCACAGTTGAGGACTTCTACATCCTTGATCTGCAGAGAAAATACATGGCAGTTGTAAAGGTACTCAGTGGAAGCCTGACTTATGCTCAGTCAATGAAACATAAACAATGTTTATGGCCTTTATTTCTGTGGTTACCTGTGATAATGAGAATATTTCCATTATAAATGGCAAAGTCCTGATGGGAAGAAAAATTGCTTTAGGAGACTATTATTACATTAACGGCAGCTGTGATAAAATTTTAATATGTTCTTGCAGCGAGATTGTAGAACAGGAGTAACAGTGAACTAGTCTCTCATTTGTCATCTTTGAATTAGTTCTGACTGTAGACCTTCGTTAGTCTCCCCTCCACCACCTCTTTCTGAACCCAGAGTGTCCCGGTGCACTCTGTCACCTGAGCAGAGGGCAGGCAGTGTTCACACTGCACCCTCCACAGGCACCCCACCTGCCAGGCCGGGCTGGTTCTCCCTGTTCTCCCAGTTCTCCCTGCCGCCAAGAACAGACTTTCCCCACCTCCTATTCCTCTGGCTCCCAGCTCTCCCTGTGCTGCACTGAGCCCTCTCTGTTTTCAGCAGAAGCTGGTAAAATGGCATGGCAGAGCCCCTGTAAGTGGCAGAGCCCCTGTAAGTGGCAGAGCCCGGCAGGCACTGCACGTCCCCAGGGCTGTCCCCATCCTGTGCACAAGGGTGCGGGGACCTGCTGTTCCGAGGCTGAGTGGAAGCAATGAGTATCAAACCAGTTCTTCTGTGAGACGTGGGAAGGTTGCTTCCTAAGCAGGCAGAAATCATAAACAAAAACGGGAAGAGCTGTCATGTTCTTGGCATGTTGTGTGTTTTGTTACCCATCTGTGGAGGTTGCAGTTCCCAAGAGCAAGGACAAAAGACGCTGAGCTGAGCTGATTGAAAGTATTTCCTCACAACTAAGTCACAGTTCTGGTCTCCCTCAAAAAGAATCAGAAGTGAATGTGAGCAGCAAAATTCAGGTCTTGATCTACACCTCCAAAATCCTGTCTACCTGGGATCATTATTTTTGTTTGTGTTAAGCCCTGTTATGAAGTTTTATCCTGCTTCTGTCAAACACACCCCATTTACCCATCTCTTACAGTGCTGGAGAAGCTATATTCACAACATGACAAAATACTGCAAAGGCTGTATTTCTGTTATGCTGCAATAGCCAGAGCTCATTGAAGTAGACCTTCCCTGAGGCTGAAATATCCCATACTTGGTATGAACATCTTTTAATGTAAATCAGCCCTTTTTAATGTAGGAATAACGAGAAGGGAGAAAGAACATTTTACACACCAAAATATAAACTGAAGATTTTTATGCATGAGTTGCTAAAATATTATCAGATGTGAAGTTGCTCAATTCAGACGTGTTTGTTCCTCGGTAATGCTAATGCACTTAAAAAATTAACTAATTGTAAGTAAATTAATTTGGCTTGGAGATCAGAGCATTTCTCTGACTGTCAGTCCCTATGAGCTCAATCTCCAGGGGTGATTGAAGGTCCCCACCGCTGGAGCCAGGGCTGGGCAGGGCTCTGCACTGCACCAGAAACCCTTTCTGCAGGCATGGTGTAAGGGCTGTGCTCACTACGAGGGCTAGGTGGAGAACAGTGGGATGGAAATGATTTTGTTTTGCTTGTCTGAACACCAAGGTTTTTTTTTTCAGAGAGTTGTAAAAAACCTATACATCAGTCATGCAGCACTAAAAAGAAAAAGGGTTTCTGTGCCTGCAGGTTGGTTTGGGTTTGCTTTAAGCAGAATGCTGTGACTTTTATAAATAGTCAAAATACGAGTTTTGTCAAAAACATAACTTGACAACTGACGTTTCGTTGCCTAAAGAAATCGCGAGCAGTTTTCAGCGGCTCCCAGGAGCCCTTGCCCCGCTGTCGATGGCCGTCCCTGCTATGGGAGCCCAACTTCCCATGCTGGCTCTGCCGTCCCGGGCAGCGCCCAGGGTGTGCTCGCTGCTCCGTAGGCATGAGCTGACAGCTAACGCAATACAACTTCTCCTTTTAGAGCCTACTCGGTGCTCGTCCTGCGCAGCCGAGAAACCAAAATGCCCGCAGGATCTGCATGGTGCCACCCTGCTTTGCTCTTGCTTCTCTCCTTCGTGCCCCTGTGGGCAGCTGAGATTTCCTGCAGGAATGAAGATGGGGAGATAGTCGACTGGTAAGTAAATACCGTGCCGGCGAAGAAACTCTTGGTGAGTAAACAAAAACGCTTGAGATTAATCCGCGGGAAGTGGGTGGGTCACTGAGAAGCAATGCAGGGCTATCACTGGTTCAGTCCTGTGAGTTTGCCTGTGAGTAGTGGCAGAATTTTGCATTGGGAAAACCGAGGTTAAGTTATTGAAATGTGATTTCATTTCACTGAACCAACCGCCGTACCGCATTATGACTAACTGCAAAATAATCACCGTTTTACACAGCGTTCATGCCTCGTGATCAAAGGGAGCATAACCTGTGTAGGGGTGCCAAGGCTGCGCTCGCCAGCGGCAGCCCCGGGGGCAGCCGGCCCGGGCCCAGGCTCCAGCACAGGGCTCATCTGGCGGAGGAGACTGAGCCGAGCGGGGAGAACCGCCCGCATCCCGCCCTTTGCCTCCCGCCCTTTGCCTCGTAGCTCCTCGCTGAGCAGCGGCGGGGGCGACTTGTCCCTTTGTTGCCGTGGCTGAGCGGGGTCGGGGGCCGAGCCCCCCAGGAGGGATGCGGGAGAGACTCGGGGTGGTGGCAGCAGTGTGGCAAAGCCGCCTGTGCCTGAGGAGCTGGGGCCGCTCCCCGCGGCCGGAGCTGCCGTCACCTTATAGCTGGTACCACCCCCCTGCCAGCAGCGAGCCCAACTTTGGGTATTAAATGACTAATTGGATTCATGCGCTTTGAAGATGAAAGACGCAAAGTACAATTGCATAATACGTGTCCAGCTCAGGTTTAAAAAGTGAAACGAGGGCTCTTAAAAAAGAGCGCAGAAGCTTTCCAAAGATAAATATCAACCAATTTCAAAATAAAAGTGTTTTTCTTGTGGAACAGTGATTAATTGGGATATAAGTGATAAAGAAACAGGCACATCTTTCCCTTGCCCACAAAGCTAACTGCAGGGAAGGCCAGTGCTCCTCACTCAAGCAGGAGCACAAAGTTGGCTTTGCTGTGTATTGATGTAGCATCAAATGTATGATGTCTATCCCTGTGACTTGTCACCCTTGCCTAGACTCTTCTGGATAATGTGATTTTTTCAAGAATCAGCCTTAGTTGGTGCAGCTACCCAACAATTTAAAACTACGAGATATTTCATTTTCATTTCTCCCCAAACTGTAATTATTCCTTGCAGAATGAATTTTTTGTGCTAAAAAAACCCAAAAGGACCAAAATCTAAACAAACAAAAAATCCACATAAAACTACTTTTACTATCCATTTCTCCAATGAGGACAATTTTTGTAGCCATATTCTCTGAGAAATTCTTTGAAAGCTGTGGCTGGGAGTAATTCCCCCATGCCTCCATATGAATGCCAGTGACATGGGGCCTGTTCCAGAGGGGAGCTTTGGCGTCTGCACAAGCAAATCCATGTTCTCATTGACACATTTAGCAGGAAGGACAATGGGACTTCCTTTTCAATGTGCCCTGACCAAACAAAAGAGAAACTTGCCTGTCTGCCAGGGTCATCCTAGTTTATTGAAAAGAAAGAGTCAGCCTTTGGATTCTGGATTTGGTTGCTATGAAGCTGACAGGAGAAGCAGAACTGAAACTGCTGAGAAGAGCTTCCTCTTCACCAAAAGATGTCAATGCCCTTTCAAACAAACAGCACTGCATGTTTAATTTTCAGTTAGCATGAGCTTTATGTGAGTTCCTACGATCCAGTGGTTTCATCCTGCAGTATCCTGTAATTACTCGTTATTAGTATTCACACACCCTTTCATTTGCTGCTAAACTGGAAGAATCAGTTGCCTTATCTGAGCTGATCCCATCTGTACTCCCAGCTGGGCTGGCGGCTCCTATGCCCACGCAGTGCCTGGGTGGGCAAAAGTCTCCCCCATGCTTTCATTCTGCTCAGGAGTTCATCCCACTGTCTCCACTGCACCTCACACAGAGGCTGCGGGACCAAATGGCCACAGATTCAGCTTTCTAAGGAGAGCTTAGTGTTTCCCTTATTCTTTCAAACTCACTGTATTCTGTGGGAAGTTTTTTCTGCAAATAAAAGGCAAAACTGTGCTTCCTGAGAAGTGTTGAGTTGAGGACTGAAGCCATTGGATCCACATAATTTGTTTGTTTTTCCAGTAGGGGGGAGGGGAAGAAATGAAGATGTGATCTAGAAGTAAAGATGTGATTATTTGTTGTAAGCTGGTGTTCAGTCACAAGCAAACAATGTGACGACGCTAATCACGTCTAAGTTCTCAGAAAAATAACTTTCACTCTGCTCCCACATATGCCTAAGTTCTTGAGAAATTTCCTGTGCACAAATAGCAGTAAAGTTTTTGTACTACTTTAATTGGTAATATATTCAGCTGGCTTTCTAGAAAGAGCCAAAACATGTATTCAGTGGGAATTGGCCAGCAATTTACTGATAGCTCAATGACTAGCATTTCCATAAGCATACCTGCTAAGGTGGATTTGTCAGATGCAAGGCTGTAAACACCTCCAAAGCATAAATCTTCCACTACATTTTGAAGCAGTTTGGAAAGGCTTCGTCATCTATTAATTCCTGGTTTAGCTTGTACTACTGTAACTGCTGCTATTCTTCTCCTTTCCAAATCTTCATTTCAGATAAAGGGATTGTTGTGACAGCTGGTGCACAGACAGGCACGGGCAGCTCTTCCCAGCCTTGTTATGTAAATCACTTTCTTCTCTGCAATCTGTCATCAGAAGTTATTTCTCCTGAGGTACTTAAGGAACATCATTCAGTCAGTGGCAGTGGCAGTGCAGGTGGATTACCAGGGTGACCAGTGGTGTGTTTCTCTTCTGTCTCTGCATGTACATTTCCCACAGATTAAATATCCTCCTCTAGCAGGACGCTTTCCTGCCACTTCTTACCTGCATTTGGAGATGCCTTTTGTGACCAGCCTGAGACTGTAAATCAGCTGGGCAAGGCTTATCCCTCCTGATATACTTGAAGGGTTAAGCACAAGCTGCATTTCTGGTGAATAGTATAGACTGAAATAATGCCACCCAGTCCTTACTATTGACATAAATAAATTACTCAAGTACAGCTCTCAAAGAAAGTGGTTGAATTAATTATATTGCAATTAATCTCATGGACTTGTGCAATGGGAAAACCTGTTTACTTTATCAGGGACCTTAGTATGAACTGAACCATTTACGGACAATATTGAGTACTCTACAATTTTGAAAAGATTTGTGTTTCTGGCTAATAGTTTGCAAATATCCAGTCTGCAACAGTTCAGCAGAGTGCAAGTCTCTTGGGAAAAGCAGGATTGGAACAACATTTTATCACCGTGCTTTATACTTATTTAGTGATTGTAAAATATATAATTGTAAGATAATGCATTCTTTATTTTAATACCTAATTTTATCAATTTAATATAAAGCCATAAGTTGTTTGCCTATGAGAACGTTAGACTGGGTTTGGGACCTGAGGCTCTCTACCAGAACCAGGAGCAATAGGGATTTGGTGGGCTCCAAACCAGGGCTACCTCAAATTCTTTAGGGGTACCAACAGCAGTCTGGCCACAGCAACAGGAGTGTGGTGCTGAATCAGCCTCCCTTGGTTGCTAAGAAGCAGAATCAATTTGTCTGCAGCAGGTATTGTGCTGCCAAACTGCAGCTGGTTCCTGTGCTGAAGCATTGCTTTGAGGCTGGGATGTCCACACTGCATGCTGGGGGCACTGCTCCCCCTCCAGCCGAGGCATCCCCAGGGTTACCCTTCTCTTCCTCAGGTGGGAAGGAGATACTGATTTACACATTCAAATAGGGTAGTGGTAAAAAAGTAATTGCTCTTTACTGTTGCAGGTTTGCTCTTTACAAGTTACCAAAACATGCCAAAGGAGAGATTCCCATGCTGGGACTGGAATACATGTACATGGATGCCCTGGCTCCACAGTGGCAGCTTGGCAAATACCTCATTAACATGACACAGGGTGCTCTGGGACGAACACTGAAGCAGCTGTATGAGACATATGAATCCAAGGCAAGTGACATTCAATTGTTGTTAGTATGTTTACTTGATATTACATGCAGATGAAATGAAACCACCCAAAATAAGCACATGGAGGTATGGCCAGACCTGACTGCCTAGATCTACTAAAGCACATCAAGGGGAGCGCCTTGACAGCAGGGCAGATTATTTGCAGTTTTGGCTAAAAGTAGAAATTATCCTCAAAATTCTAATTTCTAGTCAAGCTTTTCATACACTTAAAGTATTGCCCATCAAAAAAGAGTGTTAGTACATACTCCCTTTGGCTGCTTCTCTGCAATTCATGTTGAGCAACATCTGAAGCTGTGAACTGGCCTGGAACTCAGACAAGGGCCAGTGGTGATAGTTATAGACACCTGTCCTCAGCCCTTCTATGTGCACGTGTTTCACGCACTAACTCAAATCAAATCTGGATTTTGATCTCCTCCCTGAAATCACTGTGACTGTTCCAGCAGTGATATGCTACTGGTTGACCTTTCTTTTTCTCCCACTGTGAACCACCTCACATATATATATATTTGTGTGAAGTGATTATAAAATACCACAAGATCTGCCTGTAGTTATTTTTTTTTACCATCTGCATAGTATTGTTGAGAGACTGGGTGTGTCTTTGCATTTCTGCTCTGGGTTAATGGTAAGGTCTCATTAATTTATATGTAGAAGAGATTCCCAGAAGTCAGTCAAATACCGTCAGTCCAGAAACCTGTCCTGTTGCAGGTCTCACTGTAATTGTAATAAACTGTTTACAAACTCTCAGTACATTGGGAGGGGAAGCATGTCCTGACTGCTTTGAAGTTCTCTGTTCAGGGGAAATAAGGTGCGGCCACATGCAAATATTTTGCAAAAAAGCTTTAATTGCTTGCCCTTCTTGAGTACACTTGTCTATTTTTACTCAGCAGATATTTTCCCCGGATCTGATTGCTAAATCAGAAAGAGGCACAAAAAACAGAGAGGGGAACTTTTTTGCAAGCAAACGCCACTAATCCCATGTAAACTGTCTTAGCAAGCATATCCAACCCTGTGAGAAAGGGCTACTGCAGTGATTGAGGAAACTTCCACTTCATGTTAACCAGGGCCCTAATGCTGAGTCTTCAGGTTTATTGTACTGTAGCATCTGGGGAGACTGTGTCATCTGAACTGGGAGCAGGATTAGGCTCATGATGTTCACACAGAGGAGTCCTGAATTCTTCTGTTCCTAGCAGATGTTCTCTTAAATGCCTTCCTTTTCCTCAATGTCATGTTTCAGAAGTGTGTGTTTCCCTGCAGAGGAACACCATTGCCTATGCGATATACAACGATGAGATCCCTGAATCAGACTCCAAAGGGTGGAAAAGTGGACACACCAAAGGTACAGGGAGTGCCCCAACCTACTATTTTCTCCTTTTTAAAGTTATGGATAGCATCTAGTTGTCTGTCTATCTGCATATCTAAAATTCCTGCCTGAAGCAAAACTGGAGAATGATTTGCATGATGTGTTGTTTGTTGTATAGTTACATATGCTGCAGCTTCTGTTTTGGTTTTGGTATGCTTGTGCTGTGTGAAGAATCTTAGGGCTTTTGGACTCTTTGTTTCAAGTGTTGAAACACATAGATCCTTTTAGTGAGTACGGTCCACATCATCCTGTGCTTGATGGCAGCAGCAGTACAAGATGTGAAGGGAAAGACACCCTCAACATAAACCCCTCCAAACTCTCTGGAGTAAGAAACTGCTGCCAAGATCATGGTATGCAGTTACAGAAAGACAAGATTTAGATATAAACTTCAGTGGAGGTCTAAATGTTGCCTTGAGGAAGCAGATGGGGTTTGCCCAGCCTGACCTGGGGATGACCAAAATTTGCAGGGCTGTATTTTCAGGCTGCAGCAATGAGGACAGCTCAGGAGTCCTGCTCCACCCTGGAGTATCCTCCTGTGGGGGGAAGAGAAGCCTGTCTCTCTGCTGCTTACACATGGAAGGGAATGTGGTCTGGAAGAGAAGACACAGCATTGACAGAATCTGTTTCCCCTTATTCAGTGATTATATGAAGGGAAGGAAAAGATGCAGTGGAGAGGGGTTTTGAAAAGTTTTTTTTTTTAAAAGGAAACATGATGACAGTTTGAGTTAGTCTATGCAGGAAAGAACTGATGCAATTTCAATACAATATTATTATCTCCTATGATCCATTAATCTACTCTAGAACCAGTTTACTGTAGATATTAACATGTTGAAATGTGGTCTCTGCAGCAGCAAAACCAAAGCAGGACATAGCTCTATCGTCAGGGCTTTTTCCTCCTTAATTCATTAGCAGTAACTTTTTTTTACAGGATTTCTGCTCTTGGACAAATCACAAGGCTTCTGGGTAATACACAGTGTGCCTCTGTTCCCTCCCATCCCTGAGGATGGTTACGGGTATCCAGCTACTGGGGAGTCCTTTGGACAGACAGCCATCTGTATAACCTTCAAATATGACCAGTTCACTGAAATAGGTACGAAAAGCTTTGCCCTAAGAAAGCCTTTGTCCTACCACGGCTCTCTGATTGCTTTCCTTGAGGCTTCACCTCAAAAATTCATTGTTCTTGGCCTTTGTTGTCAGACTGGGAAACCAAATGGAGCCTGGAGAGAGCATTCTTGGTTTCAGTTATGTTTATCCAATGATTTCCTGCATGAATGTGGGAAATTCGCTCTTCCACTCTGTTTCCATCTCTCCATGGGGATTATTAGGATAATAATAGTCACAAGTGCATATCAAGGGTAAACTAGTCTGTGTATACAAAGTGCTTTGGAAACATAAAGTAGGATGATTAATCATTTTTAACAGTAATAGCTTGTTCAGCTACAATCATCTGCAGTTCTAAAACTGTAAGGCAACAACTGCTTGAGCTGAAGCAGTAGCTTTGATTCATCAGAACTATGGAGTATGGAATAAATATCACCTAGAATTTTCCCAGGTATTTTTTGCCACAAAAATCACCAATACTAAATATATTTAAAAAACCAAATAACCAACAAAATTGTAAGATCCAGAACTATCTGACAGTGATAACTGGTACTGGAATCCTGAAAAGGACTGTCAAAAGGCATTACAAGAAGTCATGCTGGCATGCTCCTTAACTCTTTTCACACTGTTTTTTCACTCTTTTCTCAAACCTCAAATCATATTAATGAAACACACATGCTGTGCAAAGTGGCAGGGTGGCCACACCTTAGAGCCATCTAAAGCAGGTTCCTGTTTGTGAAAACACATCTATACACATGTTCAGGGAAAAAGAACAAGAAAATGAGAGGCGTACGCTAGTGCTTTTCCTGCCTCATCCTCCCAGGTTCTGATAATCTGTGGTTCAGGGATTTCCTGAGCCAGAAAGACTGGATGTTCCTGATGGACTGGTCTTCCATGAACTCATCTAATGAGCCCATTTGTTCCCTTGCTCTTTATGGTATCCATGGCAAGGACTTCCACAGTTAAGATGAGCAGTGTTCAGAAAAGTGAATTTCTTCTGCAAATTCAATCCAGACACTGAAAGCCAAGTTCTGTTCTCCCTAAAACCAAACCAGACCCTCGGGCAGCTCTTTTGTTTGCATTTGGCTTGGCAGCTGTAACTGACTGGAAACTACTTCTGTAAATACAGACAGGTTTGGATTTACACATGCTGTCTGAGTGCTGTGTGGCTGCACAGAGGCTTGAGGATGAGCATGGGTGGAAGTGGCAGTGGACCAAGACCACCGGTTAACAATTCTGCTAATAATGAGGTGTAAGTGGAAAAACTTGAGTGTACTCTCCCAGCCAGTCTATGTGCTGCAGGGCCTCCTGGAATACAAAGCAATTACACATATTTTTGGCTGTTAAAATAAGATACTTTAACACTAAACTCATCCAGAGATAGGCTGTGAAGATTAGGAAGGACTTAGGTTTCCTTTCCAAGGCAGAACTTTGCTCTCTTGATTGCTTTGCTTTAGCCCATTTTAATTCTGCATGTGTTCATTTCTGTGGGTTTTTCTCAGACCAGCAGATGCTGAGTTATAATCCAGGAATCTACAGTTGTTCCATCCCTAACATCTTCCAAGCTGATCTCCCAAATCTGCTGAAGCTCTGTGCAAAGTCCAGGCTGCCCGTGGTCCCCTTGCGCCACCTCACCAAGCTCCAGTCAGCTCATGGGGAAACCTTTCTCCACTTTGCGAAGTCACACTCATTCATAGATGGTAAGAGAACCTGTCGCTCTGTGTATCACACATTCTCAATTAATTCTTAATATATTAATTGATATATTCTTTGACAATTAGTATTTTCTTTGAGGGGAAAAAAAGAAGTTCAGCTTCAGAAATAAATTAAACAGAGGGCAAGGAATAGTGTCCCATGTTAATATTCTCTGAGCCCCACAAAGCAAGAAGCTGTCTGGTCCATCCTAAGGTATTCAAGGATGATATTTTCAGAAAATTTATTTCCTGTTATTGAACAGTAACAACAAAGAAGAAATATTGGGTTTGAATCATCTGGGGTCTTTTTGTTATCAAGAAAATTTGCAATTTTTTTTGTCCTTTCCTTTTTTCCTGCTGGTTGTTTGTAACAGGTTTTCTAGAAGGAGATAAATTAGAAATGAACTTCTGAAACCAAAGTAAAATTAAGGGGAAGGGGCAAAATCCCCTCTGGCTGACTATGCATTGCAATGAAATGAGTGTAATTTAGAGGATGCTTTTCAGTCAGTTCTTAAATGAAGGAACATGAAAGACTAATTTCCCACACCCTGTGTTATTCCACAGATATCTATGTGGCCTGGATAGCTCAGGAACTGAAGACCGATTTGTTGGCTGAATCCTGGCAGCGTTCTGGCCAAAAACTTTACTCAAATTGCTCTCTCGATTACCATGTCTACAACATAAACCTAATAGGGATGCCATTGAATTCCACCTTTCATTCCATTAACGATCATTCCAAGTGGGCTGTTTCAAGGAAATACGAAGATCAGTGGACCTGCATCGGAGACTTAAACCGTGCTGCCGAGCAAGCCTGGAGAAGTGGTGGGTTCATCTGCACACAGAATGAACACATCTACAGTGCCTTCAGGCACCTGATAATCCACTACGAAAGCTGCACTGATGCCTCCACAGGGATATAACAGACCATGCCTTGCAACCAGCACAGCCCTTATCACATAGAAAGTGTGTGAAATATCTGCCTTAAAATCTATTTCCTCTCTGAAAAACGGCCCTCACCTTGTTCACTACAAAAGCAGGTGGTGTGCAGGCAAATTACGGCTGGTTTTCTCTGGCGTGGGACCCAGAGGCACTGCGTGTGCTGGGCCATGCTCTGCTCTCTGCCAGCTCCTCACCATCCACGCCAGGATGGGACAGGATGGCATGGGACAGGATGGCATGGGACACTGTGGCACGAGGCTGCCCTGCGCGTCACTGCGGGTGCCCTGCACAGGCACCCCTGGAGCAACTTGTGAGTGGGGCTGTATGTGGGATGGGAAGGACAACAGAAACCTCTCTCCTGAGCTGGATTGTCAGGAATGGGCAGTTAGCAAGGGACAAGAACCCCAAAATACCTCACAATCACCCTGTATTTCGGATGCTGTTGAGATAAATTACAGCATTTCTGCTCAGTTTGCGCTGAATCTCTTAAAGAGCTGATTAAATCCAGACAGGGGGATGAGTAGATCTGTGGATAGGAAGGCTTCATTTTTACATGATTCATTTTTAGAGAATAAATGTGCTTTAAAACATCTTTAAATCATCTGTAACCAATAGCTTGGGAGTATTTCTAGTGCTTTTATTCATGTACAGCAATCTTATAAACAAATAAATGTGTTCAAAATTTGAATAAGCAAAATAAGAGAAGAAACAATCTGTTGGCTGTCTCCCTCTTCCATCTGTATAGTTATTTGTGGTTCGTTACAATGCTTTATAGCTGCCAAAGGAAAAATGGAGACAATTACGAAAAAAAAAATAAAGTGAAGAAAATATTTGAAGGAAGATGTTATTTAATCTACATTTTCACATTACAACAAATGTGACTGTTAATTTTCAATATCTCCATTCTCAGGTGTAGGACCTAAAGTTTTCATGGAATTATTGTAAAGACAAGGCTAATTTGCAAAATCCTGATACACTCTTGGGTTCAGATTTCAGAAGTGTATCTGCATTAATACGTTCCTAAATGTATTTATAGGGTTCTATCTCAGTCGTAGTTTTTTTCCTGAATTGCTAATATAAACTCCAGTCTGAAGAGTTGGCTGTCCCACTAATATTTCTGTTTTGCTGTGTTCTTAGTTCCTACCACTGATTCTCCACAAGTTTCTTAAAAGGAATTAGACAGAAAGAAATGCCCCACAACCACAAGAGGCTGTCAAATAATGTATCAAGCCTTCATAATGAAGGGAACTGTGCAGGAATAGGTTTCAAAATTAGCCGATCTGGATCAAAAGCAAACCCGCATCTCATATCTTAGTGAAAATAGTGTAGATAGCTTAGATATCCTGCACAAAATGTTTGTGGGGTTTTTTTGTTTGGTTTTTGTTTTGTTTTGTTTTGGTTTTTTTCTCTGCATATGACCCAATAACATTTGATAATTTGCTTGGTAATGTTTTCTCTCTGATGCTTGTGAAATTGTTTAACATATATACCTTTCATTGTTTTGCTAGCTGTGGTTGAGCAACACCTTTTGTGGCAGCAAAAATTGCCAGTGACACAGATGGTAGGGCATCACTCAGATAAGCCAAGATAAAATTAATCTGTCTGGCGCATCTTTTCATGGCAGGCACTAACCTAACCTGCCTCTCTGAGCTCTGGCATCTTGGCCGTAGGTTTGTGTACATGTGATCTCAGTGTACAGGGCTGGCGAGAAACCCTCCACTGGAGACAGTGATGGTGAGGCTCCCCATGGTGCATCAGAGAGCACCTGGACCTGTGGCACAACCTGTAATTATGGTATTTTCAAATGCTCAGCCTCAGCATTTGGGTTCACAGAGTTGGACAGCAAAGAGTCTCTGTCCCACTGGTTGGCACAGCAGTGTTACTACAGCCCTGCTTCCCAGGCTACAGGTCACCAGTCTGTCACTTGACTTTAAGTGCTGATTGCTGTTCTTAATTATTTGATCAGTTGATAGCTGTCGTAAGGCTAAACTACTTAAGCATTTACTGGAGTAACTTAAGCATTCCTCTTTCAGTATACCCAGGACCGGTTGCCTCCATTTTATACCTGAGGAGGTATAAAGAGCAGTGGGAAGGTGCAGAGAAACAGCTGTACCATACAGCAGTACAAGCACCTCAACATACAGACTCATTTCAGTGGTGTGGCAATAAACAGGTTGCAGATCTGGTTCTCTCATGTTTTAGCTGTAAACAGCTTTAATTCAGTTTTGCTATTGTTGTGTAACTTCAGTATTTGCAAATCGTAGTATTTCTGCTATACACATTATGAAACGTGGGCAGGCTCTTTGTTTCCCAAAAGAGACTGATAATCAACAAAATAAACCAAATAGATTTTTCAAGGGTTTGTAACTCAAAGACTCTCTAAGCATGCAAGACCCACTTACTCAACCTCATATGCCCTTACAGCATGTACTGTGATCAATCATTAGTGTGAAATACTTACTTTTTGCCTATTTTATGTGCATATATGTATATATTCATCAAGTTTTTAAATTTAAAAATATGCTGTTCTATTTTAAAATGCCAAACACTCAAGAAATGCCTGCCTGTCCCAGTGATTCTGTGTTGCCTCTGCTGCCCACTGTGACCCTTTTGACTGGGCAGGCTGGTTGCTGCAGAAGGAGACGTGGCATAGCCCCTCTGCAATTTCAGGGGGACGCGCCCAGCAAAACTGACTCTGCTGGAGGGCACAAGCACTGGACCCTGGCATGGAGAAGGAATAAAGCTGCCCTCTTTTCTGCAAACCTGGAGTATCTTCTCAGCGTGCAGGTATGGCTATCCTGACCCTTGGGCTCTGTTCTAGTTAGACTAAATGAGAACATTTATTATACATGAAAATTGTTTGCCGAGGGAGTAGGAGAGGTCAAAAGAAAACATTATTAATCCACTAAACATTACTGTACTGCAGCCAAGTTTGTAACAAACATAGCAGTAGGGATTGTTGTTTGGTATAAATTGCCTTGTAATCATTTCCACAAGCTGAGGCTCAGTCCCAGCACGCCTGACACACTTGCGAGGTGCAGGAAATGCAGATACAGCCTCTTGAAATACACGCCTACCATTTACATCTCCTGCCCTCACCACTGCTATTGCCACGCCAGAGCAAGGGCAGGGCTGCTCAAAAAGCCATGATGATTTTTCTGTAAACCCCTGTATCCCTGAGGATGCTTCTCTAGCACTGGTAATTGTGGGTCAGTAGGGCAGTGGTTTGCTGTGTTGGGACAGTGCTATTTTACACATTTAATGCAGGAGGTCCATGGATTTGACATTGAAGAAAAGCTAATCATTAAAAAAAAAAATGAAGACTTAAAAATTTAAACTGTTTGAAATTTAATTCCAGATGGGCAATTACAATAAATTGTAAACTGGAACACAGGCAGAGGCATTGCAGCCTGAGCCCACTTCACAGGGCAGCCTTTGTGATGGAATTACTTCTGGTGTCTCCACAATGACTGAACATACCCTGTGCTCTCATTATGTGAGTGATGAACAACGTATTGGAGAATTTCTCAAGGACACCTGGGGCTCCATGCCAGCTGCCCGCCAGCAAGTCAAAGGAAGCTTTGGGAGAAATTTCTCTGAGTTTCCCGTCTCCAAGGCATGCTAACTTAGCCTGGTGCTTGGACTTGTCACAGGGGTCCACAGGCATCCTTCTGAACCAGAGCAAAGTCTGCTTCAAAGTGTGCGTGATGGCACTTCTAAAAGTACAGCAGTCCTGCACAAATTAGGTTTTGATTATTTGATCATCAGGTTTTAATCATTTCACTGTCTGTAACACCCAGTATTCCACCTCTCCTTACAAACCACACACACTGCTCCCCTCTCAGTTTTGTGCAGTTTTCTGCTCTCAAAAAAAAACCAAACCCGGGAAATTTCCAGTAAACACATCTAATGTAAGCACCTGTGTCAAACAGGGCTTCCTCAGCTTCCCTGCAGCATGAAGGGAGAAGGGAATTTTTACAAAGACATATGGGCCTCTCATCCCTCTCTTTTGTTTAAATGTACAGACTCCTGGCTTCTGACAGTAGTGAAATGCTCTATAACATCACTGTGAGAAAAGTTTTTAATGTATCAAACCATCCTTGGCGTTATTAACCTAGTCACATAATTATCCATGGAGAAACTTACACCCATATGTTAACGCCCATAAACTATTGTGTGAATCTCTTTTATACCTTTATTTTCAGTTTCTGGGAAAGATACATCACTGGGTACTTAGTACAGCAATTGCTTCAGAAGGTGTAAGCTGCCTGTGCCCGCGGTGAAATGTTCAGGAGGCAGAGTTGTGCTGGAAGCGTCATCTGAAAGCTCAGTAAGCCAAAGTCTAACTGTGCTCAGAATGTGATGCAAGAATATGATGCACCTCTTTAATTGCACAAGAGATTTCTTAAAAAGACAGGAATTTAAAAATGAGAACAAACAGAAATTGATGGTAGACTAAGTGTGAAAAAAACCATCTCGTAGGGAACAAATTCTTCATAGTACAAGGCAGAGAGCCTGATCTGAAATTCCAAGCTAGGATAGCAATATCAGTGTTTTCTAGATATCCTTATACCTTGAGTATATCTGTGTATAAAGTGTCATATCTGACACTTTTCTATTTAGACTGGAGATACCAGAATAAAGATCTAATCTGCTGAATTTTCTCATAATCCTTATAAATTTGGTATGAAGGCAGTAAAAGAAGTTGTGTTATGAACCCAGAAATCAGTTGTAGCACTCTCAGGTCTTGGCCTCAGACAGCATAATCTAACTTTTTAATGCAGATCTATTGTATGCTTATCTTTACAGTTTTATTTATCCCAGTATTACAAATATGCTATTCTATGCATATGTGATATGTTCATTTTACTAAAACTGTTAAATACAAAACATTAGGACGTGAGAAATATATCTTGCTTTTTATAAATAGCTGTGTTACACTTTTACTCAAGTGATTTTACTAAGTCCTTTTGATTTTATTTTTTCATTTGCCTTTGCTTGACTTTTCTTCACAAGGTGTCTGGTGACTATTCTGATTCTTCTGTAAGAGGGATAAAAGTAAGGAACATCCTTCCCCTCCTTTGATCACTTTGCAGCTTGGGAACCGCAAAGCCATACTCAAATATTCAAAGCTTACCGGAGCAGAGCATAGCATTTAATGTTGCATGCTAGAGTAAAGGCAATTGCTACAAGTGGTTCACTGTAGACCAGTAGTTTTAGCATTGCCTAATTTATTAATCATAGAAATGTTGCATGCAAATTAGCCACAGAGTTGTGCATCATAATACAGTAATGCAAAAATCTGTCTTTGCATGTATTAATGCCCGCAAATTATGGATATCACACTACAGCATTACACGGTTTCCTCATTACATTCCAAAACTTGCCAAATGCTCACTAAAAGCTGTGTTACTGATGTTTTCTTTTTGTTCCTTACTTCTGGCTTTCTAAAGTGTGAGAGTATTTAGCTCCGGGGCATTATTGTGTCTTCCTTTCTGGGCTAACATTCTGCCAGCCAACCAACTTGCTATAGTGCAGCTTAAAAATGTATTTTTGCACTGGTATGAGAATGGTCTGCACCACTGTCCTTCCCTGCTCTGAAAGCTGCTACATTTCATGTCCTGAGCTTGTAAATCTAGGCATTCCACAAGGGAAATCTGCATCTTTTCCTCTCTTGCTTTTTTAATGCTCCAAATATTTCTTTCAGGAAAGTCAAGGTGAGAATAAAGCAACTGACAGTGTTGCATAGAATATTTTGCAAAAAAAGACCATGGAAGAATTTCTGCACAGCAAATAGGGATAATTTGTGAGTTATAGTGCCAGCCACTCACCAACTTGCCCTCCTCTTACTGTCAAAAGATGGGAAGAAACAGAGAAATGGGAGCAAAGAGAGTTTGCAGGAAAAAGGGAGAAGAAGGAATAAGACAACTGCAGGTGAGCAAGACAGAGACAGCAAGGGAAGAGCAGAAGGAGCGTTAGGATTGTCAGCACCAAGGAGGTCAGAGACCTTGGGTGTGATGACAGAGAAACCTTAGGAGTTAGCTGTGCAAAAATCCAGTTTACAGGATATTTAATTTACTATGATAGATACTTCACATCTATCCATTTTACAGTCTCCATAGGCTACGCCGCAGAGATAAAAATGAAAGGCTTAAACTGAAGTGACTTAGCCAAGTACTAAACAAACACAAAACAAACCAACACCCTAGAGGAAGTCGCTACCTTTCTGTTACCAAACTACAAGAGGTGAGGTAAGGCAAAGTCAAAAGCATTAAATAGATAAAAGTAGGTGAGAGAAATTCATAAGCTAGGCTAAGCAGTTTGAACCACACATATTTGAACAAGATGCTAAACCATTCTTTTAAAAGAAGGAAGCAACGATTAAGGTTTAAAGCCCAAACAAAAATACAATAAAAACAAGAGACACAAAACATTAAGAGGAGTAACTGCAGATCATTTCATTACAGCTGGTGATGCTAAAGTGAGGTGCATTCATTCTTGTAGTGCTGAGGGAATGGCAGGCAAAAAAAGTAATACAAATACAAAAGAAAATAAACAGAAAATACACAGAAAATACACAGAAATAAGCAAACTGATGCCTTTAACACTTTGCTTTGGAGATTATTATTACAGATACAACATATGGTCCATTATTGTCAGGTTAAAAATCAAGCTTTGTTTAGAAACCTCCTTCAGTTTCATCTCTGATCCTGCTTTGCTCTCCAGCACTAAACAAACTACCACTGGTCTAATATAGTAGTTTCTCACTGCACTGAGTGTCAAAATCAGAAAGGTATTCCTAGGTATTACTTACTGTCACTTGGCTCATGGTGGCTGTTTTGTCACCTCCTGGTCTTGGGTCCCACAGAGGAATAATGGCAGTATAGAAGCTGTAGCTCTATAAAAAGTGTCATCTTAATATCAGAGGAGGAGCTAGCCATAAGGGGTTGGCTTCACAAATGTAAATATTTCATAATTTATTTAGCAACGTGGCTTTTCTTTTTCCCCCCAGGCAAAAACTTTAACAAAGGAATGGGTCTGCTGCAACAAAGGAAATAACAGCAAAAGCAGGGACAAGGACACATCCTAACCCCACTAATATCAGCAGGAATTTGCCTTCATCTTCAGTGGGAACACAACTTCAAAGACATAGGTATCACCCATAAAACCTGAAGGGTAAAATCTGAACCTTCCATAGTCTATGACACAAACTGTCTTTAGAGGGTGATAGCATAGTCCTGACATGATGAAAATGTCCCCTGCAGGAGTTGCACGTCCTTGTCCTGACCACAGCCTTGTCCCCAGCACTGCCAGAGTGGCTGTTAGGACAGACCTCAGAGAGGTCTCATGCATAGGCAGCTTCTTTGAGAGAACTTCTCTGAGGCAGGACTACACAGGAGCTGGCCAGAGAGGAACTTCCCCTTGGTGGACACTTTGTCTCTCTTTGTTCATGGCTGTACTTTCAGAGTCCAAGTCAGGAAGAAGTGACATCCCCACCTTTAGAGGTGTACTTTTTTACATCTGAGTAACTTAAGATACTCTTTCAAGGCCTATCTCTGGCAGAATGAAGGCTGAAAGCTGTATCTCCTCAGTCCTACTTTGTGTTGTTAGAACTGAGGGAGATGGGCCATGTGGATATAAAGACTCTTCTCTAGGGAGATTTAAGATCTCCCTTGAGGACTAAGAACATCTTCTGGGTGCACACTGCCTGCTAAATGCTATGAATGTGGGAAAGCCAGGATGAGGGAACTCATTCCTGAGTACCTCTGCAGGTCTTGTTTTGGTACTGGCACCATATAGCAAAGTAGAAATAAAAAGAGCAGAGATACCATTCTTCTCCTAACAGCAGAATTTGTTTCCCTCTCGTTCCTTTGGATGACTCCCTGTGCTTCTGTTGCTGGGAGCACATAATGGAACATGGTATCAAGTCACTGTATGTGTGTAATGTGCAATCTGGAGAGGTTGTTACACCCTTGATGAGTGAGTTTATCTGTTCCTCCTGCTACTGTTTTAGCTCTATGAGAAAAGGTACCCCTCTGTCCTTCATTATTCCTTGGTCACCAAAATAAGTCTGACAACACAGACACTTTCAAATAAACCAAATTCCAAAGAATGGTAGGTGTTTCAGGAAAATGTTCCATGGAAGTGTGTACCCTAACTAAGGCCTCTCCACTGATTTAAATTTCAGATGTTTCATATGGCATCTGCACCACCAGACCATTGCAGGCTGTATCAAGAAAGCAAGAAACCCTTTCAGAAAAGCACCTTTAAAATAACTATGTTTAACATATGCTAATATGTCTGTGTACTGTACAGCAATGATTTTCAGTCCCTGGGTGTAAAGACATTAGTGTAACATTAGTAAGTAACCTTTAATAAAGCCACAAATATGACTATGAAATAAAAGTTCATGCATATTTTCCATACATTTAATTTCTTAAGGAAGCCTGGAAAATTACAGGGAAATTTCAAAACCTTTGCTCTTTGGAAGTCAGACCCATCTTGTATGTCAAAATATACAATTGGTTTTTTTTGAGAGAGCTAGCATTGCTCAGGGCCCTGCCGGTACAGAGAACTTGAGATTTCAATACTTTTTTCTAAAATAAAATGCAGTAGTTCTTTAATGCTAAATTCCTTTGGATTCTAGTGTCCTCACTGTTAACAATCAGCACATTTACAAGCAGTCTAAGAAGTGAGGAATGAAGCATGTGGTTTGGCTGCTTTGAAAATCATATGCTTTGAAAATGCTATTTGAATTTGTGGGTTTATCTTGGTAGTCCAACTGAAATGACAATCAGCTAGACAGATAGGACAGTAAAGGTGAAACACAGTATTGCAGATAAGAAATTAATCTGTATTTCATGGCTCCCATCTTCTCTGGGTATATGAGCCCAGCTCTTTGTGGGATCAAGTGACACTTACACATAGCACTGTTGAGCACAACTGGTTTGATTATCTTTGCCTGTACCACAGTAGTTTAACAAAGTGAAACTGAGCAGCTTCATGGCTCTTACCACTTATACCATGAGCACAGTGTCTTCCCTAAGCAAGGGAAGTTTCACAGGCTAACAGCATTTGAAGTAAGTCCAGTATAAATTAAATGTAGTGTTGTGTAAAGCATGACAGTAAGATCAAGAGAGTAAAAATTAGAAGAGCCAAACTTTAGATAAATTTATGAATGCGCTCTACAAACGAATACATATTTGTGCAAAGTGTTCGAGAGAAGAGAAATATATTTCCTCTGAAAGGATGTAGGTGTGGCTACTGCAGTGTACCATGGAGATTAAAAAATATCCTGTTGCTGTGTTCTTGTTGTGTTTGAAGTAATAATTAGAGTTTGCGTCAAGTTTGAATGATAACTATTACCTTCTTCACACAGATTTTCTAAGCTTGAGAGACCAGTTTTCAAAAGCTCTCCAGCAAAGTTATTATGTTACAAGCATTACTCCATCAGAAGAAACTGTAAAAGGATGATCCAAAATACTCAGGGTGAGTCCTGGTTTTTCAGTATCTTCTCAGGATTTGGCTTCAAAAAGGAAAGTCAGCTTTTCTGATAGTAATCTTTCATAATTACAGATGAAAATGATGCAGCTGGCAGGTTCTCAACACCCTTGGAAATTGGACCTAACACATTCAAAGGCACAAGCCTTTAAAATATTTCACATGTAGACACTGCTAGCTAATATTCTCAATTGGAATGCATGCTTTTGTTCCTAAAGAAAACCACCAATGCTATTTCTTTTACTGCTGATCCAGATTTGTATCTGTTAATGCTTTGACTTTTCTGATTTGGATACTCCCAAAGGGAGTACTTTAAACTCCCATAGCACTGTGTCCTGGGTAGCTCAACACTGAAAAGGATTGCAGTAAGTCTTGTATATGGCTGTATGAACACACTACATATGAAGAGAAGCTTACACCTGAAGAACTTTAGTACTGTGAAATAAAGCATTCAAAAGTGAGGAAGTATAGAACTACTCTACAACTTTGATTTGGCCTGTTATGGCTATCCTTTACAACTGGACCATCTTTTGGTTTGTGTACAAAATCTACAGCTTTCTCAGATAATGTGTAGGGGGTTTGCTGGCTTTTAATCCTTTGTATTAAGTGTGTAGTCTTCTGGTATTATTTATTGCTCATTAGCAAGCTCTATCCCAGAACTTAATTCTGTCATAGGAGTTTCCCAGAACTTAATTCTGTGACAGGAGTTTGATATGTTTAGTTGAAAGAACAAGTGAGAACAAAATTTTATATATCAGCCTCAGCCTGGATAAAAGCCTGGAAAATTATACATTTAGTTGTTTAAAAAAAAAAAAATATCTGGAATGACATGCTAATAATCCTTGACAGAAACCTGCAAAGAGACTGCAATCATCTGAGCAGTATCTTCTCCTTAAGCTTTAAAAAAAGTACAACAGAATTTGCTATTGATAAATAACTTGTGTTTCGGATCCAGAGTAGTTTTGTTGGGCTCTCCAGCAATGCCATCACTCCATCTCTCAATGATTTTGTGGTTGGCATCATATCCACAATATCAGCCTTGCAGGTTGTGTAACAAGCTAATGATGCAACTCTTAAGGAAAAACATGGAGGTACTTGTAGGATGACAAAGTTCCACCACGCAAATACAGAAAGAAATAATTGAGATTAGGTGAGGCTGCAGTCAAACATGAAGCATTAAAATACTGTTTATGAACAAACATAGAACCAATTAAACTGAATTTGTGTAAACTATTTAATTAGCAGATTAGAAAGCCTGATGTTACCTGTGTGATCTTCTGGTCTGACTTCCAGTATAATGGAGAGCAGATTTTCCTGAACTCATTCCCGTCTGAACTAGATTGTATCATTTTAAGGGGGAAACATACATGTTGATCTAAATATCAACAGAAAAGTTACCATAATTCTTGGTAACCCTCTCAATGGTTAATTAGAGGTAACTAGAAATTAAGATTGCAGGTCTGGGATCTCTGTCTCCCAGAGCTAAGGCACGGATTTTTAAATGGATATTTACAACACAAAATATATTATATATATTTATATATTATTTATATTATATATAACATGAACATAAAGGGCCCCTGTTAACCTTCTATTTGATAAGCTAAACAGATGGAACTCCTTGAGCCCCACATTAGAAGGAGAGTATCCCTTAATCATGTCTCGTGTCTATCCTATGAAATCCTTCTAATTTTTCATCACTCTATTTGAATTTAGGACCCAAACCCCATTTACAACATTCCACTTTTCCTTGCATTGGCGCCAGATACAGATGAAGTATAGACCTCTCTATTCTTTCTCAATATTTACTTGCTTGGGCAATCAAGACTTGGCTTCCCTATTCTAGTCACCACGTCAGAGACACAGTGATTGTGGTCTATTAGTCTCCAACTGCTTTTCAGTGACTTTGATTTCCAGCAGAAGACTCCCTAAGAGATTTGGTGGGCCCTTGTTCTTTCTAGAACATATGTTCCGCTTATTTATTCATATAAAGCAAAAATGCTTTCACACTAATCTTGTAGGAGAATAAGGCACAAAGGGATGTATCAGAGGTTACCATGAAGTATTTGTGAAGAAAGACACTGAGCACAGAACAGATCTCCTGAATCCATACTGGCACTACAATATTGTACATTTCCATGGGAGGCTGAATTGCAAATGCCATGGCCAGATGCATTGTCAGCTGATGGATGCAATCCCAGTACTGAACTGAATGCTGTAATTTCTTTCCAGATGTATTTAAAACTCCTCTGGTTCAATAAGAAAGCAGGGCTTGAAGCCTCTCTCCTGCCAAAGGCAACCATGCCATACCTTCTCCTTCATAAATAATCCTTCACAAATTTAGGAAATTAAGTATTTTCCCAAACGGGAGAAAAATATGATCCATTTGGAAATACAGACAAAATAAATATTTTAGCTAATTAATTTAGCTAATTCTTCCTTGTCAATTTGTACAGTAACTTTTACTGAAATGGTGCTTTTGATTCTTTCCTCTGTCTCCAACTGCAGAGAACAAAGATTGTATTCAGCATCAGTCTGTGCTGGGTAAAGCACCAAACTTGTCAAACCATGCAGACCAAGCAAAAGAGAACCTGTGATAAAAGGTCTAACTTAAGAGCAGATTTCACGATGACTTCAATTTCTTTGTTCAGTCAAACCCTGTGCACCAGACAGGACTGGCTCTGACAAGCTTCTACAGAAAAATGACACAAAAGAGACTGAAATCTAGGCCACAGCTACAAATAATTCTTAGGAAGCTCTCTGGATTTCCTGGAGGGCGAGGTGTGGCTCTGTGCGTGGGAGGTAAACGCTGGTGTCTTTCTGTTAGTAGTAATTAGGTGCAGTTTGAGTTTCATTAATAAGAGCTACTTATGCATGCTGGAAAAAAAGTTTATCTGACACAGGGATTATATGTTACTAGCTAATGTCTTACCTTGTGTGTTATCTTTGTTATTTTGTGATTAGTGCTTTAAAATGTCCATGATATTTTATAAGTATATAAGAAAAAAAGTTCTGTTACAGAGAGTTTAAAATATAAAAGAGAAAGAAATCTCCTGGTAAACCTCCAAGTTATCCCACCAGTCTGTCTAATATTTTAGAACCACTTCTCGCATTAGCATTTGTTTTTATTAGCTTTAGTCATTTTGCTTTTGATGTTGTTTATAATTACTGCCAAATGCAAAAATAGGCTTTCCAGAAATTTACCAGGAACACCCAGCATCGAAATATCCGTCTTAAAAGATTTGATAAACCAGTAAAGAAAGAGTATCTTTTCAGGGGAAAACGGCTGGGTAGCCTTAAACAGAAGAGATACTGCAATTCTAGTGACTATTCATCAAAATCTAGTGATGCAAACAGGAAAAAAAGCAAACCTGTAATGTAGCTAAAAATGTCTGTTAAATTATTTTAAAAGTCCGTTTGTTACAGAGTTCAACCCCATACCATCTGAATATTATGGTAGTTATTCTAAAATTCTTAATTCTTATAAAACACCTTTTTTACTCCATTTTGAGGTTTCATAGCATTACAGGTTTTCAGGCCAGAAGAAAGCACCACGAGTCTTCAGCCTGACCTTTTGCAGGGTGCAGGTGGCAATTAGATCAAGTGATGTGTGCATCATTTCTGGGGTACATAATTTCTGGTGGAGATAGAACACTTCCTTTGGAAAAAAAATCCACCTTCTTGATTTAAAGATTTCAAGTGGCAAGGAATACTTCCCAGGCCTATCAATTTATTTTTTTTCCCAAGGTTTAGTTAGTCCAGAGGGTTCTCTCTAGGTTCTGGTTTTGTTTTATAATCAAAAAATGGCTCAGCTTTCAAACGCTACATCATTTAAAAGATTTGTCTTCTAAACTGAAGACTTCTATGATTATTCTCTTTATTTATGTAATTCAAGGTGAGTTAGTGCTCATGTAATTCATTGATGGGATAGAGATTAAGGTTCTGAAGCCCTGGTAAGAAGGGTTTCTGGATCCCAAAGAAACCATATACTCCTGCTTAACCAGTTTCTCAGTTTTCGTCTCGGCATCAGGGCAAGACATACTGCTCCACCAACCAAAGCCCTGCTGCTGTGCTCTCCACGTGTATCCATATGGACAGCATTCCTGTGTGCTCTTCCTTGCTTTTCTGTATTGCTACTTTTCGTAGTGCAGCCCTCCATCAGACAACTAAACTACGATTTTCCTTCCTAGCAATAATAGCCTGCACTTAGCTGTCCTAAAATACACATTGTTCAAGGTAGCTCACCCTTCCAAAGATTCTTGTAGAACTGTGGACTAATTTCTTATCACCTATCACTTTACAACGTCTGTTTCTTATGCAAATATTATCTTATAAATTTGTAAAATAACTAATATCTGTCACTAGCTATTTATACATGCTTCTCACTTATTAATAATGCTAGGTAGAAAATGATTCCTGACTACTTTTTCCCCAATTAAAAATGTGAAGTATATACTCAGAAGTAAGTGTAATATAGCCAGACACTGAAATGTGATAAAATATTTAAGCAATGTATTTTGTTTATTCTTGATAACATATATGTTGATACCGTGAAGAGTGATCTTCAAGGAGAACAACAGTTTCACTTGAGACCTTTTACTTTGTAACAGAATAGTTATACTTATTAGCGCAGGCAAATTGTGTTGCAATAATTTTGGACAAGGAGAAAATTCTTGTATATTTGGGGGCAACCTGCATGCATAAAAAAAAAGCAAAATTATTTGCTATACCAAGTTCTATTTATTTCAGCAAAATTATTCTGCTGCTGTACAAATACGTCCTAATGTGAAGTGACAGAAATTCAATAAATAAAATGAAAACACAAGGTAGCATATTCTGAAAAATATCTGGTTAGAAAGGAGTCGTAGTCTAATCTTGGATAAACTCTTTCCCTACGTGAAGGAATGTTTTACTAAGGCTGCTCAAGCTGTTTGTTATTGCCACCAGCAGAGAGATACAAGCACCACTTCCTACAAAGAGAACCACACCCTGCAAGAAGCACGAGTTTATTTCTACATACTCACATCACTGATGAAATGTTGCCACTGACTACCTTCCCTTTTACAGGACAATTCTTTAGAAATGGACAGTGATCTCAGAAGCAGCACAACGAATTCAGCAAAATACCAGCCTGGAAACAGTAGGTGCGGTGCTTCTTCAGTACTTTGCCATCAGTAGCTATTGGATAAACTTCTCAGAAAGTGTAATGTATCAAATTACAATTTTGTTGTTCATAGAATTTCTATTTGGGGAAGTATTCCAATTTTCTGCACTAGGCACTTGAAACTGCAGCAACCTCCATTACATTTTTTTCCCCAGGTAATATACAATTAATGCATTATCTAGTAATCTACTAACTAACCAGAAGTGCTGACAGACTTGTACTAAATCAAACACCCAGTATTAACCAGGCTGATCTGGATATCAGATTAAGATAATGTCCGGCTGTGCCATCTTGATAAATCCTGTGGGAAGAAGTTATTGTAATGTGAGTTATAACTACGTGGTTACTACTGTGTTGACATCCATACATAAAGCAACTGTGAAATAACTTTTTAAACTCTAATGAGTTTGAAACTCAGCAGTCATATGTATGTCTGTTATCCAGAGAAGAGCAACCAGGCTGGTGAAGGGACTCGAGCACAAGTCCTATGAAGAGAGGCTGAGGGAGCTGGGGTTGTTTAGTCTGGAGAAGAGGAGGCTCAGGGGTGACCTCATCACTCTCTACAACTACCTGAAAGGAGGTTGTAGCCAGGTGGGGGTCGGTCTCTTCTCCCAGGCAATCAGCAGGAGGACGAGAGGGCACAGGGCTTAAGCTCTGTCAGGGGAGGTTTAGGTTGGATATTAGAAAGAAGTTCTTTGCAGAGAGAGTGATCAGGCATTGGAATGGCCTGCCCAGAGAGCTGGTGGATTCACCGTTCCTGGAGGTTTTTAGGATGAGGCTGGATGTGGCACTGAGTGCCATGATCTGGTAATCACAGTGGGGTTGGATCAAGGGTTGCACTTGATGATCTCGGAGGTCTCTTCCAACCCAGTTAATTCTATGATTCTATGTATCAGACTAGGGAATTTCCATAATTTTTAAATAATACTTTTGCAAGGGTTTTTTTTGCAAGAATACCACGTAAAATGCCTTCTTTTTAAAATGCTCTCCTTTGCTTCAATTTTCCTGAGATTATTTAAGTCTTGCTCTGTCAGACTTCCAAAAGCTTTGCTTCTTTTTCTTTTTCACATGCACATACACACACCTTCTGAGATGTTTTACACAGACATTTGAATGCATCACTGATCACTGTTCTTTGCATGGTACACCAAGGGGGTACACCAGGCTGAACTGCTGCGCCTTCAAGAAGGGCAGGATGGGAGAGACAGGGAACTACAGGTCTGCCAGCCTCACCCCTTTCCCCAGGATGCCTCTGGAGCAAATACTCCTGGAAGACATTTCCTAGCACCTGAGATACACAAAGGTGACCAAAAACAGATGGTGTAATGTGGCTCTACCAAGGGCAAACCTTTGATGGGAAGACTGGCTCAACAGAGGAGGAGCAGTGCTTGCTATTTACCTTGACTTTAGGGAGGCCTTCAACATGGACTCCCACAGTGAGAATATTGAGACCTGAGCAGGAGTCCACTCTTCATCCCTTTCAGGAAGAGAGTGCCTCAGCCACTAGCTCTTTGGTCCACCATTTTCTGTATATCTTACTCTGCACACAGCAACAGCTTCAGCTAGAATGTAAGGTAATGGAAGAATGAAGACAATTCTCACCTCAGGAAAACCTGCAGGCTTGGGATTTGATTGTTCCATTGAAAGGTAAGATGATAATCTCCAGAGGCTGGAAAGTCCTGTCTTCTGTATCCCGCTTTAACTTTTGAACTACCTGGTAAGGAAAGCCACTATCACTAACTTTGCTGCACATTTTGTGCGTTTAGGCAGTCCCTGGGAAAACCTACCAGAGAGAAGCTGCAAGTGAGAGCATGAAGAATGTTTGTTTTGAGGGGCCTGGTAAGGCTCAGACATGATCAAAGCTGTACTAACTGCTCTGCAGTCTCAAGGCTGAGGCGCTTATAGGCATAACAAAAGCAGACCTTTAGGATACCTCTTCATTATCTACACAGCACCATGAAGAGACAGAAGAACTAGCTTTGAATGCAAGAATAAGAAGAGTGCCTTCACCTTAGTTCAGTACTCTGCTCCTTCCAGTTGGCCTCGCAGGCATTGCTCAGGGACCTCCTGCTGCACAACACTGCCAGGCCCCAGCTCGTGTTGCCTCTCCACATCAATTTATGCTGTTAAATATATGAGCCTCCCTGACACTGGTACACAGCACTGACTTCAAAAGCTGAGGTAGATTCTTCATCACCAGAGTGTTTGGAGGGCATAAAGATCCCGCTGAAGGTTTTGAGGACCTTAATAAAGCTAACCCTTGAGGGAACCCTAAGAAGCCACCTCACTTCTTAGTGATGTTGTGGTGTGACCTCACGTTCCTTGTATTGCCCCTCTCCTCACCAGTTTTAGATCCATGACAATACTGATTCCAACTGTGTAATGTCGGACATTTCATCCTAGAGAAAAATCAGTCACTTCTCTCTTGTGCTCTACTCTACTAACACACCAAGAATCCTTAGACCAGAGGTACTGCAGAAACTGTCCTCAAAATCTTCTGATATTCAAATTACTATTACCACTTGGTGGTTTATCTTTTTTAAAAACAATCACAAGGAATTCTGGCCCACTGATTCCAAGGGAAAATTGCATTCACCTTGTTAACAAGGCAATGTAACAACAGTCAAAGTCAATAATTTTAAAAACCCACATATACAACAGCTTTTTTTATTATTTTTCAAGTGAAAATCAATATTCTGTATGAAGAAATAAAAAATCCAATGTAGGGCATATCTCTCTTCCAACATAGATAACCGTTTATTTGGTTTGGAGCATTGCATTTTCCGGGGCATTTTGTTCAGTATAATGAATCTTGAAGACAAGTGGTATGTCCTGTCAACCTTCTGGTAATGAAATTAAGAAAAACAAACCAGGAAAATAGCAAAATGTTGGTTATTACTTAAACCACACACCCCCCCAAAACCCTGACAAAAAAACCCCAAGTGGTTCTCTAATAATTTACTGAATTCAGAGGCACCTTATCGACTTTTCTCACTTCTGTCTATATTTTCTAACTTATTTTTCTCTTCCCAGATGAATTTTTGTCATTTCAACTTAATAACAAAGTTTTTTTCAACTGTTCGAAATGACAGGACAGAATACATAAAAACAGTGCTCTGTTGATACAACTCAAAATCTTGCTTCACTACTCTGCAGCTGGCTCAGTGGTAATTTACAGAAAGGTTTCCTCCAAAAATCCTTAGTGCTGACTCTGAATGAATGTCTTCATTCATCATTCTCTACTGGAGAGCTTACTTGTTCGTTTACACAAATTAAAGCTACTGGTGGGGGGAGGGTGTGTTTGTTTTTTTGGTTTTAGTTTGTTGGTTTGTTTTAGTGGGGGCTTTCTGTTGGTTGTTTTGGTTTTAACCAAGCAGCTTCTTCTGAAAGATGGTTTCTTGGCAATGATATGTAAATTGTAAACTCAGGGTGTCCTGGTTAAAATGTTATTTGCACAGAACAGAGTTCATAGCGAAAACAATCAAAAGACCCTGGAATTCCTATGAAAAAATTAAACTAATACTATGCATGCATTTATTAGTTGGGACTTCCATTGAAGTTGTAATTGTACCTTGTCAGTGATCTCTACCAAGTCCACAATGTGTTTCTGGTGTATTTTATTACTCCTCCCCTGCCTTAGGAAGTTCTTGTATTTTTGTGTATCATCATTATTTTGTTCCTGTGAGTCCTTGGAAGAAAAGTATTTGAATAATATTAGGAGGTTGTCTTCCCTCTTGCTGGGAGGGAGAAAAGATAATGTGTTTGTTCCACGTGTGAGGACTCGGTGATCCCAACAAAAACAC